AAACTAAAAAGTTTCTTCTCAGCAAAAGAAACTATCTGTGAAGTGAATAAAGAGCCTACATCTTTGGAGCGAATTTTTACCTCTAACACATCAGAGGACTAATCTCTAGGGTATATAAAGAATTCAAAAAGCTAAATACCAAAAGACAAATAACCCAATCAATAAATGGGCCAAGAACCTGAACAGACACTTCTCAGAAGATGAGATCAATAAATATATGAAAAAATGTTCAACGTCTCTAGCAATTAGAGAAATGCAAATCAAAACTACTCTAATATTTCATCTCTCTCCAATCAGAGTGGCAGCTATTAAGAATACAAACAACAATAAGTATTGGCAAGGATGTGGGGGAAAAGGCACACTTATACACTGCTGGTGGGACTGCAACTTGGTGCTGCCAATATGGAAAGCAGTATGGAGATTCTTTGGAAAACTGGGAATGCAACCACCATTTGACTCTGCTGTCCTTCTCCTCCATCTATACCCAAAGGACTTAAAAACAGCATTCTACAGGGACATAGCCACATCAATGTTTATAGCACCACAACTCACAATAGCTAAATTGTGAAGCCAACCTAGATACCCTTCAGTAGATGAATGGATAAAAAAAAAAAAAAAATGTGACATACATATACAATGGAATATTACTCAGCAATAAAAGAAAATAAAATCATGGCATTTGCAGGCAAATGGATGGATTTGGAGAAGATAATGCTAAGCAAAATTAGCCAACCCCCCCGCCCCCCAAAAAAGCCATGTGTTTTCTCTGATATAAGGAGGCTGATTCATAGTGGGGTAGGGAGAGGGAGCATGGAAGGAATAGAGGAACTCTTGATAGGGCAGAGGGGTGGGAGGGTAAAGGAGGGGGCATGAGGTTAGAAATGATGGTGGAATAAGATGGATATCATTTTTGAAAGTATACGTATACAACCAGAGATATGAAAAATTGTGCTTTATATGTGTAATATGAATTGTAATGCATTCTACTAATATATATAACAAATTAGAATAAAAAATGGAAATCAAGAAAACAAAAAAATAGAAAAATAAAAATAATAAATTGCATTGCACTATCTGTTCACCAGCTCAGTGTGAAGAGCACTGTATATTAAAAGATTTTCATTGCGTAATAATGTGAATACCAGCAGCAGTAATTATAAAATCAATAATTCACAATAAATATGTCCTCCTTATATAATTACAAAAACAGAAGAAAAAATCATATTTAAAATGAATTCTAAATTACAAGGTACCCAAAGGAGAAGATATTCAAATAAAAATGTGATAAGGGTGGAAGAAAGGGAGTGACAGAACCATGAAAATGAAAAGGAGAACAAGAAGGAATTAAAAGGAAAAGAGAAAATGACTGAAAGAAAAAGATCTAACATATACCTGGAGTAGCTGAAGAAAGAAAAAACTGAAAGAAAGCTAATATTTAAAATTACAATCCTTTAAAAGATCTAATATATATATTCAGTGAGCAATGAAACCTTCAAACTTTAAAGATAAAGAAAATATTGAGGACCTCAAAAAACCAAATATCTTCTAACTTGCAGACTGGCACCAGACTTCTCAAAAAAAATATTCATAGCAAGGCAGAAATGCAGCAGAATGCGTAAGAAATGAGATTTCGTACCCAACCAAGTGTCATTAAAAAACCTCCCATAGGAGGAGCTTCATCCAACCCAAAAATAACTTAGCAGCATAGACAAATGACTATCATATTGAACCATAAATTAAGATGAAGACAAAGATAGAAAATGATGCAAACAATATATAAATTTTAAATGCACTGAAAAAGTAAAAATGCACTCTTAAAAATGGGGATAATAAAAAGGGAGAAAAAAAGTAAAAATAAGTTCTTTCTTATACAAAAAACAAGTGGAAGGCAAAGAACAGCAATAGAAAAACTAATAGATTAAATAAGAAAATGAAGCATTCAGGACAGGAAGAAATATATATAGGACTTTTGATTTTCACTGTTATAATGAGTACCTGGAATAGACTTAAGTCTTCCATTATAAACAACTAGAAAATTATTTTCTTTAAAAAAGGGGCAATAAATGCAGCAGTACTATGATTCTTGACCAAAACACACACACACACATACATACATTGTAGAGCAAATATATACATGTATATACATCACATACACATAGGTGTTCTACAATCTTCACAGATTTCTCCTCATAGTTCTTCCCAGATTACAACACAAGAAAGAAACCCAAATCGCAAAATGCTGTCACTGAATTAAAGAAATATAGATCAGAATGCTGGGGAGCTAGATTTTGTGTATACTAACGAGGAGGAACTACAAGGAAAAGAACTCCAGGGATGAAACAGTGGTCCCTTGAAGACCATACAGAAAGGCCCTAAAAGATGAGACACTACATGAAGAAAGCTAAGTGGAGAAAATTCAAGGCATCCCAGCCAAAAGCTAGAAGCACAGGCCCTAGACTTATAAAAGAAGCCATTTTGGAGGCTTTCAGCCTTGCCATCTCTAAACTACTATTTGTAGCAGAAGGATCACTCAGTCAACCCAAAGAGTCCTGGGAAATAATAAATCCCATTGTTAAAAAAAAAAAAAAAAAAAAGCAGATAGTAGCTGTAATACATATGGTAATTTAGCTCTGCTTTATTTTAGGATTTCTCAATGATTTATTTCTGCTTCTCAATGATTAATTTGTAAATTTTCACCTTCCCAGGATCATTCAAGTGGAGGTAACATGTTGTGACAGGAAGGTAATGGTGCCATAGAGCCTAAAAGTTTAAAGGAGTCTTCTGGAGCTGAACATGGCAGTAAATTCACTTCTTTGAGATTATATGACCAGAAGATGTACAATACTTCTTTTCTTTTAAATACTGAGAATGGGTAGTTCCAAAAACTAACTTCATTTAATAATAATAACTCAAGTGTTAGGTTATAATAAATAATATCAGGTTTGTATCTGGGAAAATTATATTTTTTCTAAATCTCAAATGCAAAGTCTTATCTCTTTATTGTTTGGTCTTTCTCGACTACTATAGTTAAATTTTGTTTATTATAAAAATCTATAAATTCACCTGTATTACCATATCAGTTTGCAGAATCTCTATTTAAGGCATTATAAATAGAATATTCCGGACGTAATATGGATGTCAGTTTCTTTACTAAGAAACAACTAAAAAGTTATTTGATTAAAAAATACTTAACACAAAGTTTGCTGTAATGGCATAATTTTTTTTTGTTTCCTCCTCCTCAAAGATTTGCCTATCCACAATCATCTTCTACTACCCTCCGATAAATGCTCCAATTTAGTCCTTAAACACACATCATGTTTTCCTCCCCTCCTACACTCTATCATTACTTTTCAAACCCTTTTTTGACAAACTGTGAGGCCTACATCCTAGTTCAGCAAGGTCTCATGGTTACTACTAAACCCTTGTGTATATCACTCCCTAATGAGTATCCCTTCTCTGAATGTAACACTTTCTCTACAAATCAAAGTACTGAATTTAACCATTCATTGCTTGAGACAGCTGCCCTAGCTACTATTGACATCTACTTCTGGAGTATCCAAATGTCCTTTCCACTCCATAACAATAAGTGACATTTCTTCTACTTGATTTGTGTTTCCTACAGAACAGATACAGTTTCGGATGGTCCACAAATTCTCTGAAATTTATGCAAAGTTTGTTGCAAACTGATTTATGAAAATTTATATGACACAAAATGGTTCAGAAGCACTGTCAAATGAGTGCTCATTATTTATACAAAAAATTAAGAACTTAGAAACTATCCTTTATCAGAAAGCAAAATATTAAATCTTGCTAAAAGCTAATAAAAAGTTCATCATCTGAAAAAGAGAAAATGATAGAAAACCCTCTAGTAACTGTTTAGAAATTCAAACCTAAGAAATTATCCAACTTTTATCTACAGAAGATAACATTTTTATTTCAGTATAACCCAAGAATAATAACAAAGCATGTGTTGGGTTTTCTGAACCATAAAACCATGAATCATTTTTGTTTTATAATACCCTAACAAATTAATTTTTCTGTTAAACTTTATGTAAACATGCCTGAATGTTTACATAAAGTTTACGGTAAAAGATGGAAAACACTTAAAGGGGGAGAAAAACAATCTAAGGATAAAGTAGTTTTCTTTCTTTTATTTAGTGCAGAAAAAAACATAATTCAGATATACCAATCTTAGTTCTTTTTGAAAATATCAGGTAGGAAACAAATCCTGCAAAAGTTTTCAAATCAACACATCAAAACCAACAAAAAATAAATGAATATTACAAATAATTTGCTGCTATTACACACTAACACACAGTATAACTCTAGAGGTTTAAGAATTTTGTTCAATAACTACACTGTTATTCTTGTGATCACATTAAAAAAGAATCTTGAGGTCTCAAAAAGAAAACTTGATTTTCTTATCTTTATGGTTAACTTTTGTTTCTTAAATAAATCTTATCAGGCCTCCAGAATTTGTGAACTGATAGGGTACTTTACCTCCCCAATCAGAAAACAAATTGGTTACGCCAAATATAAAAAATTAAATCATCTACCATACAATGCTTTGTTTTTTGCCTGTCACTCAAAGTTAGCATGAAATCATATGCTTCCAAGCAATGTGGCACAGATTTCTTTCCCAAAAAGGTAAGGTTGACTAATACCTGCCTTTCTTAACTCATTTATCCTGCCCTCTAAGGTTTTCATGAAATTTTTCACTATTAAGGTAACCAGTCTCTTTCAGGCAAGTACTGCATTGCCACAAAGCACAATGGTATTTGAGTTGACTAATGAAAAAAACTTTTTTTTTTTATCTAGTATAGAAAAAAATCAACAACTAAAATTTATAAAGAATGAATTCCAACCACAGAAAACATACCTTTATCATGTTGAAGACATAGGCAACACTTCTAGATGCAGAGAAGCACAGGGTATCAGAGTTATAAACAAAAAATTGTCATCAGTCAGGTGGATTTATCACTTTTCAAAAATAACCTTACCTGATTAAGTGAGGTGGTATCTCTAAGTACAGCATCAGGAGGTCTACTAGGTACATTGAGAGCTACCTAAAATCAAAAGAGATTATGTTAAATCTTAAATACAAGTATTATGATTCTCTTTACCTAAACTTGCATTTGATTAACAACAATGTTTCAATATAATAAACTCTGCAAATTAGATAAAGGGGAGTTTTGTACACATTATGTTTAGGAGACTATGATATTTAAAACTGCATACCTCCTAGCTCCATATACATAATTATGTCCCTCAATTGACCCCTTTTAATGTAAGGAATTATATAATCAGATCCATTCTCCAGGTCACAAATAAGTAAAAGTTGAAAACAGTTTTTCCCTTGTAAAAAAGATGATGACTATAACAATTAGACACAATCAATTTAAATAGATTCAATTTTAAATTCAGTCTTTTAAAATCCTTACATATTTTACTTTTGCATCTTAACAAAATCATACATTTTAAACTCAATTACCAAAAAATACTAATTTAATACCAACTTAATGCCAAGACTTAAAAGTACTAATGAAAACATAGTAGCATGTAGAAAGAATCTGAGTACAAATTTATATAGCTAATGTAAATCAAAAATTAAAGTCACATTTAATTAAAATTAATTCAATTGTAGTCATATAGCTAATACCTACTAATATCTACTTTCCAATAATTTATAACAGAAACAAATTTTTTGTCTCTAATATGTAAATTTTCTATAATAACATCAGTTTTATTCATTCTGAGTGTTAAAGAATTAGGTTATAAAAATGCCAACCTTACACATAGTCCCAAATTTATGCTAAAAAAATTTTTTAAAAATCATGGTGAAAGTAGCTGTTTCTAAAAATAAACAAGAGGCTACTACTTTTCAAAGATTACCATTTCAGTTGCATGCACTCTGCAAGTTTTATTCATGTATTTATTTTCAGTTCATTCTACTAGGTTTTGGAACAGTGCAATTTGGGAACCAGATTTCACTGTTTAGTCATACATTAAGTAGTCCTGAGCTGTCTAGAAAAACAGCTTATCCTACAAAATGTACCCCTTATTTTACAAAAATCTATTTTAAGCCACAGTCATAAAAATACATGCAAAGAACAAGTAAGATGGACAGTGCTGCCGTAATAGTTCTACTGTTAACAGGAGAGCAACCAGTTGATGGCAGATGGCTTCACCATGACATAGCATAAGCTCATATTTTTTATGAAAGAACCAAATGATGCTAGTGAGAAATTTCTATTCAATTATTACAACAATATCTAGAAAAGGGATCTAGCTTACAGTACTAGAAACAGTGGAGGCCAAAGGACCATGTGGAAGATTTATCCAGAGTGCTTAAAGGGCAAAAAACAGTCCCCCCATAAACAAAACAAAACACTAGTACCCAAGAATCTTATAACTATCAAAATTATATATTTCTAAAATGAGAGCAAAATTTAAAATTTCCTAGATAAACAAGAGCAGAAAATGTATTGCTAGCAGACCTTCATTACTTCATTATTAACCAATTAAAATAAACATATAGGGCTGAAGATGAGGCTAAGTGATAAAGCACTTTCTTTCCCTGTATGAAGCCCTGGGTTTGATCTCCAGCATGCACGCACACACAATTAGAAAAGGGAAA